CCAGTTGGATTCATGGAGGGCAATGCAGTAGGATCCGGCCTTCAGCTGGGTTCTGTGTTCTAGTGTAAGGACAGATCTCCTGCACTCCATTAAATTTGACACTTTGGGTGACTATTATAAAATCTTTTTTTTTTTTTCCTTTGGAACTGGGGATTGAATTCAGGCCCTTGTGCTTGCCAGACAAGTTCTTATTCTACTGAGCCATCTCTCTGGCCCATTAGATTGGTTTTTTCTTGTTCTATTTTGCAACAAAGATTTGATCAAATGCAGTAGCAGATCTCCATACAAATAACTCTGGCTTTGTACCAGAATAACCAGTAAAATTTTAAAAATATATAGGTTTTAATAAAAAATTAGTTCATAAAATGTTGATTCTCTCCAAATTTATATATTGAAAGCAGCCCATGTAAAACAACTTTTGGATTTTTAAAGGAACTTTTTATATTTATCCTATAATTTATACTTTTAAAAGGTCCACTACCTTTAAAAAGTAGAAATGAGGAAGGAGAACTTGTTAATTTCACCATCACTACAAAAGCCATAGGTGTTAAGAGTAAATAGGCATGACCCAGACCACCAAGTCAGGCAAAGTTGAAGCAATAAGCGAGGTTTATTTAGCCTGGTTTCAGGTGAGCCAAGGGTGATAAGACCATTGGCCCTCAGGGATAGAGTGGGGTTAGGTTTTATAGCGGTGTTTGTATATGAAGGGGCATGGCAGGGATGAGTGGGAAAGCTTTAGTCTGGGTCTGTGGAGTTCAGAGTCTTGGTGACATTTGTGTCTTGTAGGTGTGGCTGCATGGGGGCAGTTTCTTGGTTATCTTTTGCAACCTCTGGCGCCTCGTAATCTGTCTCTCTGCAGCTGTGCTCAGGGACTTTTTTCTTCTCTGTCCTGGTGGCAGTCTGACAAAACAAGTAAAATGAATAAGGTAGTATTCAAACCAAGGGACAGACCCTTCAATACATAGTACCTGGATATAAGAAGTAAAGCCATGCTGTTATGTTGAGCTGTAGGGGACTCAGGTCAACAATTTCTGACATTGCCAGTCAAGCGGAAGACCCAATACTATTATGGGCTACTGGACTCTTTAAGAATATTTTGCTGAGTTTACACACCTATAACATTCAAATAATGGAACTTAACAAAAAAACCATATACAGATGAATGTCCATTTTGTATCTGTGTATTCAAAGCAGTTAGGATAGATATATAGTTACATTCTCTTAATGAATAGTGATTTGTTCTAATGGTGTTTGTAAATAGGATATCATGTCTGCATCTTGTACAGCAATTAACCACTGGGAAGAATGTATGCAATGTGTTAATTATTGAAACTGTCCTACCAATTTGATTTGAAAAAAAAAAAAACAAAAAAAAACATACATAGTACCTGGCCATGTACTAAAGGAGACAGCTCACACCACCAAGGAGGTCATGGAGCACTCAATGGCTTTGGAAAAACCGGTTCACTGTGAATAGAAATATCACTGTGCTCTCACTCAACTCTTAGAAAAATGGCAAACTTTGGATTAAAAACCTGTAATCAACACATAATACTCTGGTTTGTGTCTGGAATGTTCCCTACAGGCTCAGGTGTGAAAGCCTTGGTCCTCAGCCTGGTGCCACTAGGAGGGGTGGGAGTTCAAGAGATGGGGCCTCATTGAAGGCTTCTGGCCATACCAGGGTGGGTGACACTGGGTCTGTGTTCTCCTCTTTCTCTTTTTGGTTCCCAGCTGCCACGAAGTGAGCAGCATGCTCCACCTCTCTGCCAGGATGTGTAACAGCACCATGTGGCCATGGGTGGATGGAAGCTCTAAAGCCATGGGCCAAAATCAACCCCTGCTCTTTTTAAATGGATCATCACAGGTACTTTGTTTATCAGAAAGCTAACATAACATAAAATAAAGTGAGTCCTTGTGAGCTATGTGTGTGAAAACTTCAAAAATATAAGCTATGGGGAAAAATTCAATGATTTAGATTTTCACAAAATTAATGCCTTTTTTTCTACAAGGTAAGATACTAGCAGATGGCAGAAGGGAAAAGGAATTCTTATGTGTAACACCAGTGAGAGATTGATATACATATAGAAACATGAAAAAGGAAAGAAAGCAACCTCCTTTGGGCAGCTTCCAGCTAGAGAGATATTCCAACTTCATATTCAGAGGAGTATAAGCAAAACAACCATGGTCAAGCATTTATCACCACTGACTGGCAAATGCTGAAAGCTCATGTGCACAGGACACAGGAACACGGAGTTTCCCAGCTCTGCTGCTGGCAGGGGGACGGGGCTGCCTTCCACACAGCCCTTCGCCCATTAATGCACTCTCCACAGCCTAGCAGGTCCCATCCTAGGCACAGGGCAGATGGCCATGCAGTAGCAAAAGGAGATGCATTAGAAGCTATTTATTCGCAGTTGTTTGTGATGGCGTGGACACAGAAGCAGCCACAATGCCTCCTCCAAGACGGTGACTGGCTAAAGTAGTCTTTGCAACAAGAAGAAACAGAACTATGTGCACAAGGGAAAGATGTTCAAACAGTGAGGTGTGAAAAAACCAAGAAAAGTGTGAGACAGTAAACATCATTTGCATAACTAAATCACTAAAACATGTGACAAAAGTGAAATTTGCATTTACAAGACTAGAAAATAAAGATAGACATTATATAGTTTGCCTTTCGTGGATGAGAGGAATGGCTGTATGGAGAAAAAAGAATACACAAATTGTAACATGCTACCCTAGACCTACAAGTCAGTCTTTGAAGGAGGGCACCAGGAGTCTCAGTGATTGTGACACACCAGGACAGGCCTCAAGGGTTTCCAGTATGTTGCAGCCTCAGTTAGATATGAATACCACTGCCAAACGGCATAAATTAATACATACTGTGAGAGGCTATGGGACAAAACCAGAATGAAGAGGGGTCGGTTACTTGAACCAAATGATGGAGACACTGAGATGTACAGTCCCTATTACCATACAAAAAGCAGCACATTTAGTATAAACTGTACTTGGGATGTTTGATTTTGATCTTTGTCCACATTAGAATGACACACGGTACAATATTCTTCTGAGATGATGGGCATACCTGGAGCCATGCAGTCAGGAAGACAGACAACTGACAGTGTGCAGAGTGGTGGTGAGCCTATGGCCCAGCAGGCACACAGGGCCCACTCTGCAAGGGCATTCCAAGTTGTATGAATTGGTTTTCCTAAATACAGACTTCATTATTCAGGATTAATTGCAGCAGTGGCACTTTGTGATGAATAAATATGATTTGAGTTGCAGTTGGGGGCTCAATTTCTAAAAGGTTCACCCTCACTGGTCCACAGTGTGCTACATTGGTAAGCCAGAAGAGGTGTATGAGATGCATGTTTGACTTGTGACATTTTCAATTTACTTATTATTATTATTATTATTATTATTTTTTTTTTTTTGCAGCACCAGGGATTAAACTCAGGCCCTTGTACTTGCCAGGTAAGCACTATTCCACTGAGCCATCTCCCTGGGCCCAACATTTTCAATTTACAATGGGTTTATCAAATGCTATCCCACAGTAATTCTGGGACCATGAGCAACGATGGGAGAAAAATAGGCTTCACTCACCAGCTTGGCCTTCAGCCCTTCTCCATTCTGAAGCACAAAGGGAAAATGGAATTAGAACTTCAGGACACACTTCTCTGCTCATACATCACATTTTGCACCATCCCTGCCCTCTCGCCCTTCTGCTAACCACCCAGGATATCATACCTGCACTGGGAGATGAGAAGATACATGGATAACCAGGGGCAAAAAGGTGGGTAAAGGGAAGGTTCTATGAGGGCTCACTTACCCAACTCCACCTGAAGCTTCTCTGTAAGCAGAACACAGAGACACTATCAACTCTGGAGGAGTGGACCACTTCACAAACCAGTCAGGTCCCAGGGAACATGACCAGTCTGAACCCCTGCTGTTTCCAGTCCCACCCTGGGCCCTGCCCTGTTCTATTGAAGGAGACCCTCCTGCAGGCTTCTGATGCCTCAGCCTCCTGGCTTTAAGGCAGAAATCTGCACGGGGCTGGGATACAAACAGATATGGGCCTGATTTGAAGAGGATCCTGTCTTTTCCTCCTGAAAGTACAAGTCTGTTCTGGGAGGAGCTCCCGAGTCAGTCCAGGCACTGAGCACTGGCTACCTGAGTCTCAGGCTCACTTACTGGACAAATCACTTAAAGAGCTGGAGAAACATCACACTCGATTATTTGCAAAGGACTCTGACTTGTTGCTAGTACAATACACTCCTTTGATCTGTCTACTTTTTGTCCTCTTTTAAAAGTAAACGCTTCTTGGAAAGGGAACACTATCCACCAATTCTGGGTTCTGGCATTATAAAGCACTACAACTGCTCTGTTTTGGTTTCCCCTCCCTACAGCACTAGGTAGACTGCAGGGCAAGTTGGAGTTTGGGTTCTGAGTCTTCCCACTCTGAGGTTCACACCACTCTGAGGTTCACACCCTCCCTTTCACACGGTCTCCCCACCGGGGCTTCAAGTCGATGTGCGCCCCTGGGAACAAGGGAATTTGATAAATCATCCCCACTGTGGTAGAAACTAAAGGGTTACTGCTTCCCAGAGGTGTCTATCCTAGGACGACTACGCGAAAGCAGTCTTTGGGTTTGGAAGGTGAAGCAGATCCCTGACATGCTGAGCGGGGCTGGCTGGGTGTGCTCCCCAGCCCCCGGTGGGAGGCGGGTAGAGTTAGACGTCCACAGACCTCCAGCTCCCGCCCTCCGGGGGACCCCAAGCCACCAGGCGCGCGCCCGGGTCGGCCCAGCGGTCCCCAGCGCCCACAGGGCAGGGCCGGAGCCCAGAACTCACCCAGCTGCGAGGTCAGTTTTCCTGGAGGAAAAAAAGAGGCACAGATTTCAGGCTGGGGATGAGTCAGAGGGGAACAGCCCTGCAGGAGCCCTGCGCCGTGAGCTCCGGCGGGACTTCCCCGACCCACAGCGTTGCCTAGGCTCACCTCGCTCCTCCTCCGCCTGCTTCTGCTTCAGCAGCTTTTCTAAAAGCAAACAAATGACAAACCACTTGGCTGGCACGCGTCCCCGCCCCGCCCCTCGCGCGGCCCTGCCCCGCCCCTCACCCATGCCCCCCCCCCCCCCTCGCACCCGCCTATCGGATCCGTCCCCGCCCACCTGCCCCGCCCCCGTACCTCGGCGCCGCAGCTGCTTCCGCCTGCGGATTCGCGCCAGCGCCACCAGGACAACCAGTAGCACCAAGGCACCGGTTAGGGTTCCCAGGAACGCGCCTCTCCAAGGGAAACCTCCGGGCAAGAACACATCTGGAAAACACCACGAAACCCGAAAGATGTTCCGGAGCCCGCTCGGGGACCCCCGTTTCCCCGGCGGCGGGACAGCTTGTTGGTCCCGGCGGCCTCGCTGCCTCTGTCCTGTCCTCTGCTCTGCGCACCTCAAGAGCTGCTACCCCTGCGGCCGGGGCTGAGACATCGCAAATGCAGTGACCCTCGGAAACTCTTGGGCAGTTCAGCGATTCTTCGTCTGTAGGGACTCTTTTTTAAAATGGTGCTTCTGTTGAGGACGGAGTCAGGCCTGTACCCGAGCGCCAGGAGGTGAGGCGGAAGGGATCCCGAGAGTTCATGGACAGTCTTAGCCTCAGACTGAAACCCCGAGTCCGAAACCAGAAATGGTGCTTCTACGTCAGAGATATTTTTAAAATACAGTTTATCATTTGTTTTGTGAGATGTTCGAAACAAAAACCTGTCATCTTAGCCTTTATTTCCATGGTGGGGATCACAGAGTCTCACCCAAATGAGGTGTGGGGTGTGTACCACTGAGCTGTGCCCACAGACCTATTTTGTCTCTCCCTCCTCTTCTTCCTCCTCTCACCGCCCACCCGCATTCCCACTGTTGTGCTCCACCTTCATTTTGAGGCAAGGTTTGGTAAACTTGCCCACGCTGGGCTGGAACTTGGGATCTTCCTGCCTCCCCAACCTTCCGAGCGCCTGTTCCATTTTTTAGTGTGTACTGCAGTGGCGTGGAGACCACACTCATTGTTGAGCCGTTGTTTTGCACTCACTACCAGGGCTGTTTCATCTTCCCAAACTTAAACTCCGAACCCATTAAAGACTGACTTCAGCCCGGCCCCACACCTCGATGATCACTATTTTACTTTCTGTATCTGTAAATTTGACTGTCCTGTTTTCATTTCACAAGTCTAATCGTTAGACAACTAAGTGAGATACAAATTAATAGGCAGTCAGGGATGAGCCCTCCAGAAATCCGTGCAGAAGATGAGCTGCACCAGGACTGGTTGAGAAGAGCCAGCCCTGAGGGGAGACTGAGTATACAGCCTCCAAGCCCGCCCAGAGACTAACAGCAGCTAAAAGTTCTGCCACACAATGTCTCTGAACCCAATAGGCACCAGGAGCATCAAACCAGAGCATCTGGGCACACCCCCACCCCCCACTTTTCCAGAGATGCCTCCCTTCTGGGTCAACTGTCCCTAAGCTGCTCTACCTATAGGTTGATGGCGGTTTGGCCTATGCTGTAACCACGTTGTAACCATGGCTGCATAAATCACCATGACAGCCACAGTGGACACAGATTGGAGACCCCACCTGGAAACGCAGGAGCTTTTCTCTCTCCAATAAACTCAGATAAACTCCTTCTTTCAGAACTTCATTCCTGGATGTTGTAAGACCCCAAACTTGGCATGTGTGACATCTAACAGGCTGGGAGTTATTTTCCCATCGCAGAATCCTTCACACTGTGTTTTTTGTCAGGTGCCATGATGCACATGTGTAATCCCAACACTTGGGAGGTTGAGGCAGGAGGACCACCACAAGTTCAAGGCCAGCCTGAACTGCATAGCAAACCCAGTCTCAAAGAAAAAAAAAAAAAGTCCTTTTTTGTCTTAGTCTGCTTAGCATATGTGGTGTTTTATTTTATTTTTCTAGACATGTGTACAGGGCCAAAATGGGTTGGTCCCTCCCTACTGTTGGCTTCCAAAGCACTTGTGTAGAGGGCATCCAGCCTGGCTTACTCAGCTGAGCAGGGGATTAGAAAGTTCAAGCATAGCCTAAGCAATTTAGCAGCTCAGTGAGACTTTGTCTCAGAAGAAAAAATAGAAATGGTTGGATATGGAGTTCAGTGTTTTGAGTGTTCCCAGCAGAAGAGAGAACAAAAATGGCTTCAGGCTCCTTGGACTGCTGCTTCCCTGGCCAGCCACTCTGACTTTTCTATTTGCCCCCTCTACCAGAGATCCATGTGACTCACACCATCTGTAAGGAACTTTATAATACAAATCTAAAACTATATATGCAAAGTAATAATAAATATAAATAATATTTAGATACAAGTCTAAAAAGAAAAGCAAAAACAAAACAAAACAAAACAAAAACCCAAAACCCTCTATTCTCTGATGTAGAGTCCTCCCTTCCCTTTTCTTAGAACATTTTCTTTAGTCAATTCTTTATTCCTTTGAAATGTAAGTCAATCTTTTTATCAAAGCTAAACAAACCTGTTGCTAGCTTCACAACTAAGGACTCTTTTTTTTTTTTTTTAATTTATGTATTTGGTACAGGGTCTCATTACACAGCTCAGACTCATAGTGATCCTTCTGTTTTCAGCCTCCCCAGCACTGGGATTATGGGCATGTGCCATCTCGCCTGGTCTGTGTGGCACTCTGTGTCTGGGGGTGGAGTTGGTGCAGCATGTGGTGCTGGTGATGGAACTACAGTCCCTGTGCTTGCCTAAACAGGTGCTTACTCTGCTGAGCTATCTCACTGGCCCCAAGACTCTTCTTTTTTTAAGGGCCTTGTCTTTGACCTGAAAACATCAGGGATAAGACAGCCCAATTTATGTCTCCTGAGAGTTTAAAGAAAGTATGTGCTTCCAGAAATAAGGTATGAGATGCCTTATTTCTCTTTGGGATAAAGAATATAATCAATATAACCACAGGTGTCAGGGGGATTTACTGATTTATTTAGAGACAGGGTCTCTCTGTGTTGACAGGCTGGCCTCAAACTCGGGCTCATGAAATCCTTTTGCCTTGGCCCCTGAGTATCTGACACTACAAACAGGCTTGACTCCAATTGGCTCACTGAGGAAATTAAAATGAACTCTGGCAAATGTCTTCCTACTCAAGGAAAGTTACTTAAGACCATGTATGCAGTTGAGTTGTTTTTGCCTTGTCTCTATCAAAAGAAGATATTTCTTCCTGTTATAATAATATAGCTATTGACTTGGACTTGTTACAGGCAGCCTGAGTTAAAAAGACGACAAAGACCAAGACACCTTACAACTGGGAGGTGCCACTGCTGTGAGCCAGACCTAAAGATCAAACAAGTGCTAACCTCCCTAAAGGTTGGCATCCAGGATCACTCATTACTCAGAAAGAATCATTGTCTGAAGTCTACCAGATAGGTCCTGTTTTACATTCATGCCCGCTTGCTATGTGACTCACTACCCCATTTGGTCCTGGACCTAATCAATTTTACCTGAGCAATGGTGCTTGTAATCCTATTGGTTGACCATAGTTTTGTCCCACCCCTCATCCCCCTAAGCAAGATCCCTTCTTCTCTACCATAGCCCCACATGGTTTTGCCCTACAAAATTAACCTGAAAGAGACAGCTTCCTGGACAACCCGCTTGGGCCTCCCTTCTGTCCCTCTCTGATAGAAGCTTTTCTTTCCAATAAAGCTTTATCCTCAACCTCCGTTTGTTCCTAAAATTCATTCTTCGGTTTTAGAGAACACGAATTCATCCAGCTCAGGTCGGGTGTTTCACTTGCCTATATCAGACTGATGTGAAAAATGGCCAATAGCTTGGGCTTGCCTTCAAAACTTCCAACAGTTAGCTGGGTGTCGTAGTGCACACCAGTATTCTCAGCACTGTAGGAGGCTGAGGCAGGACGACTTCTAGTTGGAGCCCATCCTGGGCAATTTAGTGACTTAGGGAGATCCTGTTTCAAAAAGAGGGGCAGGGATATAGCTCAGTGTGAAAGCCCTGAGTGAATCCCTAGTACTGAAAAAAGAAAAATAGAAAGAAAAGAAAAAAGAAGTTTAAAACAGCTAGAATCGGCCCTATGAAATCCTTCAGTGGGTGTCTCATTGGATTTTTATTTGCTTTTTTTTTTTTTTTTTCCAGAACCAGGGATTGAACTCAGGCCCTTGCACTTGCCAGGCAAGCACTTATTCTACTGAGCTATCTCCTCAGCCCCTTGTTTGTGTTTTGAGACAGGATCTTTCTATGTAGTTCAAATAGGCCTTGAACTCACTATGTAGTCCAGGCTGGCCTCATACTCATAGTAATTCTCTTGTTTTAGCCTCCTGACTCCTACAATTACAGGTATGCACCACCACACTCAGCTCTCATAAGAAAATTTCAACTCATTGCCTAAACATCCACTTCCCCAAATTACCTTTTTGTAGTTCATAGAGACTCCACCACCATTCCTGACCCCCTTTGCCATTTTTCTTTTTTCTTTTCTTTTCTTTTTTTTCTTTCTTTCTTTTTTTTTTCTTTTTTTTCAGAACCAGGGATTGAACTCAGGCCCTTGCACTTGCCAGGGAAGCACTTATCCTCTGAGCCATCTCTCCAGCACCCCCTTTGCCATTTTTCTAGCATGTTCCACCTTCTAACTTATGACACAATTTACTCATAGTTTGTTGTCTGTCTCCCCCACAGGATTGGGAAAATAAGGGTAAGAGTTCGGGCCATATTGTAGGTGTTCATTAAATAATTGTCTAATGGATGGAATTAGGGGTATGTGGCTCTACTAAAACTCTCTGGCCAGTAGTTTGTGGGTTTTGCTGCATTGGCCTTTCACACAGAAATGGTGGCTCTCTGGGGCCACATACTGTTTAGGTTGTATGTTGCACTCACAGTGAGTTCCTGATGTCCAGGTATCCAGGCCAACTCACCCCTTACTCCACCAGGTGTCAGTGCACTGTGTCCTTCCACCTTTGGGCCAAAGGATATGGAGAACATGATGCCTAGGAACACAAGGGAGAGCACACACCCAACTGACCTGCTATCTGGACCACAAACTCTTTCTTCTGGCCCACCAGGGTGTTCTGGATGGAGCACGTCACGTTCTTGTGGGCTCTCCCTCGAACAATGACGGATGTCTCCAGATGGAATAGGCCCTGCACATCCTGGATGATAGCTTCAGACTCTGGAGGCAGGCACCGCCCCTGATGGTCCCTCCACTGAGCCTCAGGCTTTGGGTACCAGCCAGTGGAGCTGCATCTCAGCTGAATGCCTCCTTCCTTGTAGCCCTCAAGGGAGATATGAGGGTCTGAGCCCATCCCTAGGAGATACAAAAAGAGTGAGAAAGAGCAGACTCCTTCCCAGAAGTTGAATGTGGAGTCCACACAACACTGTTCACCATTTTTAGTCACTGTAAGACATCAGGAACTGTGACTGCTTAATGCATGTGTGGGCTGATACCCCTGACCCATCAGCTACAAATGACTGCCTGGACTGCAGTGGCATGTGTCGACCGAACAGTGTTATGCTGCCTGTGGGAACACTTGGAAGTTTGGGTGGAAGAAGGCTACTGACATTTAGTTATATTGTGCAAGGGACAGTTCCTCAGAAAAAATTATCTCAGCTCAAATTGAATAAGTTGCACTCTTGATTGTCACTAGAGGTCAAATTCTTGAATTGTGTCTTTCTTTGTCTCTCCCATGTAGGTCTCATATAGTTAACAAACTCACTGTCTGTCTGCCTACCTGTCCCTCCATCCATCCATCCATCCATCCATCCATCCATCCATCCATCCATCCAGTCTTTTGCAGGCCTAGTGACTGAATGTAGGCCCTTGCACATGCTAGTCAAATTCTCTGCCACTGAATCACATCCTCAGCCATATGTTTTGAGTATGCAAAACATTAATATGGCCTAAATGTCAAGCCTGAGCCAAATGTGGTAGCACATGCCTATAATCACAGCATTTTGGGAGGCTGAGGCAGGAGGATCCCAAGTTCAAGCTCAACCAAGACAATTTAGTGCTTAACAGCACCTTGTCTCAAAAAATAAAAAAGAATTAATGTGAAGGCCCTAAGTTCAGTACCCTCCTCCAACCCACGAAAAAGTACTGTATACAATGTATATCTCTAGCTTTTTTCAGACTTTTTTTCTTAAATGTATTTGGTTATTGCAGTGTCTCACTACACAGCTCAGACTCATAGTGATCCTCCTGTTTTCAGCCTCCCCAGTGCTGAAGTTACAGGCATGTGCCACTGCACCAGACTCTGGCTGGCTCAGCCCACCCTGGGGATGGGGCTGGTATGGCATGTGGTGCCAGAGATTGAACCATGGTCTCTGTACTGGCCTAAGCTTGCCTAAGCAGGTGCTTTAGTTTGCTGAGCTATCTTGCTGGCCCTCTGATTTTTTTTTTAAATTCTATCCTTTCCTTAAGTCATCAATTCCATGGATTTCTAATATATTCTCATTTTTTTGATATTGCAATGTTCTTTTTCTTTCCTGCACACACAAATACAACACATTACCAAATCTCTTGCATTTGATTTTTTCCTTTTAGTAATACCCCCTAGGAGTCACTCCACAGCTGCCTTTGAACTACTTTTCACTTTTCCAGCTATAGAGTACATATCAGTCATGTAAGAAATAGGCTTTCTCTTCTCTGTCAAAGCACAAGGCCAAATTAATTCTGTTTTGAGTTAAAATGATCTGGCTACCTACTCACTAACACTTCTACCCTGTTAATATCCTGAACTTCAAGAAATGGTGACTATGAATCTTTTCCTGGAACACACTAGTTTCCAAGAAAAAGAACCCAGAACTGTTCATTCCAAACCACACCTTCTCTCTCTCTAACCACCCCCTGCCTCACAAAAAGAACCAAGGACTGTTTGTTCCAAACCCCACACCTTCTACCACTGTGGGTCACACACGGTAGACTGTAAACTTTTGAATTCAGCCAGTGAATTTAAAGGTTAGCAGCTTCTCTTCATTAGGGAAAAAAGGAGCAACCCTCCTTTGTCCTGTGGCCCTTCACTGTGTGCTCACTTCCTTCTGCAGAAGTAAAATGCCTTGTTGGGAATCCTTGGTATCTAAGTGCTGTATTATCTGCTCCGACAATTTGAGTCTGGGGATTATTTACAACACCCCTTATGTGTCTGGGCCACGTTCAGCGTCTATACAGGGACAGTTTACACTCTTGCAATTAGAAGTAATTGTACAGATTAGACTGATACATAAGGGAAGGTATGGAGATATATCTTTAAGGTAAATCCTAGAGGTGGGGTTGTTGTATCTAAGGACAGTAAACAGAGAATTCTGTTAGCCTCCCAGCATGGAGCTTATTTACTTTAAACTTCACTAATCACATAGGAGAAAGCCACCTTTCCAAGAGCCACCAGGACAGTGTCATGGAACTTTTGAATTTCTTGAAACTAAAATCAGTTTGAAAGGTAAAAAGCAGCATTTTGATGTAGTTTAATTTGCCTTTCTCTAGTTATAAGTAAAACCATCTTCATAGTTAAGAGTCATAGCATATTTTGTGTATGTGTGTAAACTGTTTTGCTTTTTGCAGATGGATCAATCCCTTCATTTCTTAATAGCTTTATTTAAAATGAGCAATGTTTTCCAGGATCCTACGTCTACTTAAGAAAAGCAGCTCTTAGAACACTGACCTTTTCCTTGACCCTGGGGGCTGTTGGCTGGACACATACCTGCTACCTCCAGCTCCCAGATGGCTTCACCAGAGAAGTTGCTGGATAGGAAACGGCATCCATAAAGGCCCTCGTCAGAGGGCACCACACCGTGGAGCTGCAAGATCACACCGCCAGTGGTGATCTCATCTGTGAGGAGTTTGGTCCTATTCTGGAACTGCACCATCTGCTCCCCAAAGAGCTCCTGCCCATTCTGATACAGATGCACCACATCCGAGGTCTGGTCCCGGAACCAGCGAATCTCCATGTGCTCCACGTCCAGGTACGGTGACACATGGCATGAGAAGTCCACCTCTTCCCCAATGTGGGCCATAATGGATTCCTCAGGGCCTATCACTTTGACAAAGCCAGAACCACAGCCATAGTCAGTACATTTTCAATATTTGAAGGTCATTTTGCAGGTCAGAAACACACAAGAAACTGTTCAAATGATGAAGATAATGCAGTCTACAAGGACACTGGCCTGGCTTCTTGAACCAATAATACCATGAAAAGGGCACAGGTTAAAACAGATGGAGGGGCTGGGCATATAGCTCAGTGGCACAGCATTTGCCTGGTAAATTTGAGGTCATGAGTCCAATTCCTGGTACCAAAAACCCAACAAAACAAAATAAAACACACATGAGTGTCACAGTCAGACAAAGTATGGTCGTAGACTGGTTATTGGTTTGAACCAATCAGGTGCAAGAGTTATTTTGTGGATAGTTATGGCCGAAGGAGTAAATTAAATGCAATCATTGACCAAAAAGACCAAATCTCAAAAATAAGACGTATACTATGCAATTGGGTAAAAAATTACATATTTGCATAGATGCCCTGAGAAAAATATCTGAAAGGGGAAACACTAAATTGTTGATGGTAGCAATTTATGCAATGATGGGGATACTTTGCCTATACAACATGGAGCTGTGTGCTATTTGTGCTATTTGAGACAACATGTTGCCCACTCAGTGAATTCTCAACAACCTGTTACCATCATCCCTTTCTGGATCTCTCCAGGTTTGGGCCTCTCCAGCCATCTTTCCCACACACCTGATACCTTACTCTCTCCCTGGACACACCTTGCCTCATTTTACCCTCCACATGTCATCTTCCTGGAGTGTGTGCCTCTTGCAAAGCTCTGCTTGGACATTCCCTCCTCCCTATGCCTCTTCTTGGCTCTCCAGGAAAGGAGATTTGCTCTTAGTTCTGCTCAGCTCCCTGAGTCTTTGGACATGGTTTTCTTGCACCTGTTTGTGTCATAACCATCCCTTTCCCTTGACTGTGAGATGTTTGAGGGGCTGGGAAATGCCTTAGATGTCCCTGGTTTCAGCCTAACTAAACATATAAGGAGATTCCATGTGTAATTACAACCTCTGTTGGCTGCCTTTCGTGAGAGATGGTATAACAGGAGAGGTCTTTCTTGTCTTCCAGAGCTATGCAGTTAGTGGAATTTAAAATATTTACTAGGTGGCTCAGCACAAACACAAAGAAGGGTTTCCTGGTACCCTTCTGTTATACTCTCCACTATGCCTATGGGCTCCAAGGCCCTGGGAAGTGTGTCAGGGCTGGCAAAACGTGGGACAAGCAGGAGGCACTGCAGAGGCACAGAGCAGTGGCTCTAACCACTGGGATGGAAGTCTTTTTTTAAATTTTTTTGACAACTCATACAGAATTTTACTTAACAGAGTAATATGAATTTCACCATATTTGTTGTAATACATGGTATTGTCTTACAACCAGCTATTCATATTACCAGATATATACACATAAAATTGGAAGAAGAAAAAAAACTGGAGCAATGTATAAGAAATTAAGAAAAAGTACAAACAATTGAAACAAAGGAGACAAAGCTAATTAGAGCATTGACTGCTTCTTTCCATTTCCATTTTTTTTTCTAATTTTTATTTATTTATTTATTTTTTTGTCCTGTCAGAGGTAAATATTCTATTGGCATCTAAATACTATAAGTGTTTGAATTCAACTAAACATCTAACACTGTCTAGCAGTCTACAATATTAGTGGGTTATCCTCAGAAGTTATTGACTTGAGCCTTTTACAGCTCATTGTATTAATATGGATTTACTTTATATACCTCATTTTTATACTTTCCTACTGGATGGTTAAGACCAAGATATAGCAAGACCTATATACCCAGAAATGTAACTTTTGCATCTGATAAGGTCAGCCAAGTACTCTCAGGATTTATCCTGTAGCCCTGTACCACTGGGATGGAAGTCTTTATGAAGTTTAGCACCTGGCAAGGCCAGGTCCAGTGTCATCATATCTCAGACTGTAGGGAGCAGTGAGTGGCACATGGTAGGAGGGATGCTCGATCATGGCTGGTGAGGATGCAGATGATGACTGAGGTAAGACACTGTACCTGTAGTCCCCTTCCCAGGTTGAAGAAAGAGGAGAATGTTGGTGAGGATCAACAAACTGCTGTGCAAAGGTGCTCCCTTCAGAAATTCCAGGAACACTGGGAAGTCTGCCATCTGTCATCAGCAGTGAGAGCCCCCTGGAGAGACAAAGAGGTGGTGCCTGACATAGGCTATCTAAGCTCAGCCTGTGGGGCCTGGATAAAATTTTCTGATTGAGTTCCTTGTAACAGTCCCAGGATCTGCCTCCTGTTGTGCAGGGGCTGGATGTAGGAGCTGCTTCTAATTTTACCAGGCAATGCTGTTTATAGCTCCCTCCGCCTTGCTTAAACTGATAAAGCTGCAGGTGGATGGGGCTAAAGGGTCCCACAGGAAGGGGCCTCTGAGTTGCGTATTGTTTAGATCCAGGAACAGAGCCATACATTGTGTCAGGGCTCAGCACCACCCACCTCTGGAGTTAGGGGCCTTCTGCAAACATAAACACCTCTGCAGAATCTTTTTCTCACTACTACTGATCCAAACGTGCTCTCATTTCTCTGTCCTAGAACATCATGTTCATGAAAAAGAAGAACAAACAGAGCTCTGTTGCTTCCAAAATGCAGCGTGTGTCTGGTGGCTGCCTGCCAACACCACCAGCAATATTCTGAAATATTTTTAACTAGGCCTGAGGCTTCAGGTGTTGCTTCCAAGTAGGGGAGTTGGCCACTTTCCTGTATTTGTAGCACTCCCAATGCTGGGTCATCCCATCTAACCAGCCATGCCCAATCCTGGACAACCAGCTGTATCCCATCTTTCTAGTGACAGCTCTCCCTCCTCTATCGCAGCACCACAGGGAAGTTCCAGTGTGGGTTCTATTCTCCATTCCCCTCAGTTTCCTCTTCCGTACTTTCTTCTGCTCTGCTTGACCTTCCTGCTCAGATGCTTGTTGTGCCACTGTTCTTGCATCCTAAGGTGGGAGAGCCCTAGCCCATTGTCAGCAGTATCACTGTATCACTAGGGTGACGTGGATGAATGAATTAGAAGCCACTGGGTCATGCCACAAGACGACATTCAGAGCTGTGAGCAGGACCTTAGAAGGGCTGAGTTGGGAAGGACTCTGCCTAGCAGAGATACAGTAGGAGGGAGAGACAGGTAACATTGGCCCTGAGGCCCAGACTTTGGGTGGGGGAAACAGGAACAAGTTGAGATGACTGCATTCATGCATCCAATGGATCCCTTAGAGGGAAGAGATCGGAGTCCTGTGTGGAAGGACCTGGGTGTTTTGCTGGCTAACAGTCATGGAAATTATTATTCACTCAATAACTAGTATCAACAGCAGTCTTGGGCAAGGGTCAAGGGTCTGGTTGGACAGCCTGACCTCTTGCCCTGTGTGGCTGATGGTGAGAATGTGTCTGTGACAGTCCTTGAATCTGACTGGGAGGGAGCAGAATCATTGCTGGTTTTTGTATTTCCTCCCCTTCCTTCTTGGTCACTTTGGTGCTTTTGTCTGGATGCTGTACATAGAGTAGGGGTCGCTGAGGGCAGAGCCATGAGGGGCAAATCAACATCCGGCTAATACCTTGCCAAGCAGTAGGGTCCCTAGCTCTGCATAGGATGGATCCCTTTTGGTGGGCTCGATGATGAGGACAGAGGCAAGGTGGTGACATCAGTTCTCCTATGAGGAAGAGATGGGGCATTGGACAGATCCCAGAGCTAGGGGCAAGGCGCTCCAAGAATGAGCACTTGTAATTATCGGAAGATAATGACAGTGAGGATGCAAATCCTGGGGGTGAAGGGACTGTAGCGATGTGTTTGAGAATTGTGGACTAGCTAGAGGAGCGCCAGTTCTTTGCTGTGATACACCCATGGGCTTCCCATCAGGGCTGTGGAGAGGAGACCAGAAAAGCAGATGTGCACCCACACAGCTGTATGTGTCATGGAAATGAAAAGTGACTCCAACTTCTGGCCTACCACACATTTGCCACAATCACTAAGATCATTACTACATTGCTAATAAATCCAAATTACAGACAGAGAAACAGGTGCTGGGGCTGAGGGCTTTGCTCTGTGCGCTCAGGTCGTGGGTGGCGGAGTGGGCTCTTACCTGAGTTCTCTGCTTCCAGAGCCTTGCTCTGTCTGTGCTGCTTTCAGCAGATTCTCACCAGCTGCTTTGTAGGCCAGGCCTAGGGCACCCTTCAGTCATGCTGCTGCCTGAAACGAAGACTGCCCTTTGTTAGGAACGCTTTGTTAGGGACCTGAGCCACCGCCACATCACCACACTACAGAAGGGTCCAGGTCCTCTGTGTCAGCCATGAAAACCACTTAGCCACCACCCAGTGAATGTAAAGTTTAAAATCCTACTGGCAGATAAGACAGTTTAAATCAGAGGATCCCTAGGATTTTGTCAAAACATCTGCTTAGACAGGAGGCACCTGTGTGGAGCCCCTTTGTTTAACACCCAAGGACACATCCTTGAAAGCCTTCCCTGTGGAGGAAAGTAGGCTGATGGCTTCCTGAAGGGAAATCAGTGTCTTTGAAGGGTCCCTGAGCAGCACCCCGTATGGAAGCAGCAGCCTCCTTTCCACCTGCTGCTTGCCTTCTCCCTTTCCGACCTCACTCTGCAGAGTCAGGCCCCTGGGCCTGACTGAAGTGCATGTGCTCTTCTATGCACCATGGCCAAGCTACACTTCAGATTCTAGTCCTGCTGAGGAGGTTTTGCTGAGGGAAAGAATAGAAGAGGGTGGGCACGTTGGTTGTTTGGGGAGGATGGAGAACACAGTGAAGGAAAAAATGGCCAGGAAAGACCTCAGACCAAGCTAAGCTGTGCTGGTGGGGTGCATTCTCCTTGCTGTCTTAGGGGCCTTTGAGCTGCTCCAGGCTGGAGATGTAAGGGAGGAGGGCTCCCACACACCAGTGCTGAGGAAGCCCTGCAGTCTCCATGCAGGGCTAGGGCAGTTCTCTCCCACTCTTCCTGCTCTTTTCTTTCTTTTCTCTTCTCACTGTCCTTGCCCTCAACCCCCTTCCTACTTTCTCCTAGTCTCTAATTCCCAAACAACACACAATGTTTTCTTGACTTCCAGTGCTTCCATTCTTGAGTCTCTTTGTATTTTGCTTTGCTTCTTTTGCAAATTGAAGCTGGTATGTCTTACCTCTCTTCTGTTTTCACATTCTAAGCAAAAGCACCAGGGGTAAAGGGGGCTTTGTATTCCCTCATGGTCCCCCTGAGCACCATAAGTCCTTGTCCCTAGCAGCCCCTCACAATTACCCATAACTCTGCATTGGTTTGATTTCAAAGGATGCATAAAAGGATTTCTGCCTTCCTAGGATCTAAGGGAGAAGAACCACCTCAAGAAGGGAGCCATGACTGGGTGTGGTGGCATAACCAGGCTGAGGTCGGAAGGTCACAAATTCAAGCCCAGCACAAGTAACTTAAAAATGTGAGACTTAATGGCTGGAGAAATAGCTCAGTGGCACAAACACCTGCCTGGCATGTATAAGGTCTTCAGTTTTATTCCTGGTACAAAAAAAAAAAAAGTAAACGTGTGAGACTTTTTCACAAAATAAAATAAAGAAATAAATATCTGGGGATGTCAAGGCCCTGGGTTCAATTTGCTTTCCCTTGAAGAAGAGGAAGACAGAGATGGAGATGAAGATGAAGGCAAGAAGGAGAAAAAGAAGAGAAGGAGAAGGGAGGGGAAAGGGGATGGAGAAGGGGCACTGAAATGAAAGGGAAGGGCCCCATTCAAGAGGAAAATGGGACACCTGAAAAGAGTGCCCCATAGTGGGGCAAAGGGGGCCTCTCCCTAGGGATCTCCTCTTAGCCACACTGAGAAACTCTCCCCACCATTTCCTACCATCTATTTTTGAAAGAGGGAGGCTTAGCCTCATGTTGAGAATAAGGCACATACCTTGCAGGCAGCATTAAAAGGTCCCAAAGCAGATGAGTCCAGATGATTTCACCTCCCATACAAGATGACAATGATTGTTGGGAATTTTCTTAGTTCTTGAGGCTAAGACTGTCAGACATGGGCTGGCAGCAGAGCTCAGGGGAGCAAGTCATTTTTGACAGAATTAGTCCCACCTCCCTCTTTTAGACATGTGCAGTTGGCTCTGCCCTTTGCTATAAAAACCAAGATAGATAGCACAAAACAAGGAAGTCCCCGTCACATCCTGTCCCTGTGAGGAAAATCAAAAATTAAATTCCCATGGAAAATGTTCTTCCAGGATCTCAGAAGGAGGGCAAAGATATCTGAGAGTTTAGTAAAAACCACTAAACTGCAGAGGCAGAGAGTGGAGAGAGAGCACTCTAGCCAGCTCCCTGGAATCTCTGGACAGCTCAAGCTGGGGTCCTGGGGTGGCAGGGTGGCCACCCTTGGCTAGCACTTCTCCTTGTGATTACAGAAAAAGTCGAGACTAAATTGTAATCTCCACTAAAGGTCGGAAAGGTGTTCATGCCCATCTTATACTTAAGGCACCACATTCTTCTCTTTGCAGGGAAAATTCAGGAAGGACATAGCCTGGGAACATTGCCAAAAATAAGCCTTCAAAAGTTGTACAGACAGTACAGAAACAGACTGAGTGCTGCATAAGGGTTTCTCTACTGGAGCAGAGCTGAAAAAAGAAGCAATACTGAATCATACCAGATAGGCTACGCTGCAACTTTGGTACTGGTATAAAAGAAGTGCAGTGGGCCAAACTGCAGCCCTGTCTGTGCACCACACTGATTTAGCCTCTGCGACACGGGTCTGAGCTGTGGCAAAGGGCAGCTCAAGCATGTGCAGAATCTCCCGCCACCTGGGACTTCCAGAAATATCTGTATTTGGAGAGAATCTTAGGCAGGTGCCAGGCATTGAAGTAAGCAGGTGGAAGCAAGAGGCAGCCAGGCTTGGGGGTGACTGTATAAAGGCAGGCTGGTGAGGCAGGAATTTTTTTTTTCTTTTTTTTTTTGCAGAACCGGGGATTGAACTCAGGCCCTTACACTTGCCAGGGAAATACTTAATCTACTGAGCCATCTCCCTGGCCCCTAAGAATTTGGATAAGAATGTCCTTTGGGTGGAATGTGTTACTAGCTGTAAGAAATATAGGAGAGACAAAAACTTGCAGCAAGGACAGCATTTATTTAAGGCAAATGCCTGAGAGGATCCACTGGCTTTGAAATGCCTGGGTATTTCACTTAGAGTGTGGTAGGTCGCTAACTGAACTTCTTACACCCAGGTAAGGTGAACTAGAATAGTTCTGGGTGCAGGAGGATCATCTAAGGAGCATTGCCAGCAGCATAAAAGGCAGGGCAGGAGAAGCGGCCTTTCCATCGATGGAGAAAGCTATCTCAGCACCACAGGACAAGGCTACTCGTGGATAACTGACAATGCCTTCAGAAAAAATAAAAAGTCATTCAGAGATGAAGGGAGAATAATGAAAATCCAAGAATCACCTGCGTGTGAGCCCTATCAGCACGTGTAGCTAAGTAGAGGTTATGAAAGAGGGTTCTTATGCATCACTGCCTGAAAGTAAAAAAAATAAATAAATAAAGCTTCTAGTTGGAGCAGTGGTTGGATGGCACCTGACTCTGGCTTTCTTTTGTATTTGACTTCGCAACTTTTAGTGCTGCTTTTTTATGCTCAAGCATCTGGCTTCCCTTTACGTGTGTCCCAGCTGTCTGTGATGAAATCTGCATGCCTGGTGGTGCGGCTCAAGGCCCTCAAGATGGAGGCTGAAAGACAGGAGGGGGAGTTGCAACCACTGCTGCAAAATGGAATTGTATACTATTTGTAATATTTATTTATTTATTTTGAGACAGGGTCTCACGATGTATTGTAGGTTGGCGTTCATCTCACTATGTAGCTCAGTCTGGCCTTGAACTCACAGTGATTCTCCTGCCTCAGGCTCTTGAATGCTAGGATTACAAGTGTGTGCCACCATGCTCGGTTGCAAAATACATTTGAAAGTTAATTTTCTTTCTTTCTTTCTTTCTTTTTTTTTTTTTTCTTTAGAGACCAGTAGCTTCCTGAAACCTAGGGCTTAAACAGATGTTCTCACTTGTACTCTGTCCAAATAAATGAAAAGCATATGCCGACACTGTCATCAGGGAATCCCAAAGCCATTTACTTTCTACAAGAAAGGAAACAATTGGTTGGAGATGAACAGAAGTGTAAAGCAAGTGTGTAGATTTGCATTATATCTGCTCTCTCCTTACCCTCTCTTCTTCATTCTAAAAGGCCCTTTTGTCCACTTACAGGTGAGTTGATCATTTGAGTCCAAAAGACCCCTCTCCATCTTCTCAGAGATAACTTTGAATAAATCCTTTTACCTTTTATATAGCCTCCTTTGATTTGTTCATGGATGAGTACATGAACCTGAGTGTATGAATCTAAGTGGCCAGTAACATTCCCTCATCAAAATACTAAAGATCAGTTGTAGGACAGATTGCATTTTGTTGTTTACTTAGGCCTAAATTCAATCCCCGGTTCTACCAAAAAAAAAAAAAAAAAAAGATTAGATATATATTTGGGAAGATTTTTGCTATTACTTCTGCGCATATTTTTTTAATGTCATTTGTATTGACTCCTTCTTTCTCAATGATGCCTATTAGTCTCACATTGTTCATCCTTGCATTGTTTTGCAGGTGATGGATTATTTTTTCCTGCATCTTAGTTGTTTTTGAGATTCTTTCTTACATTTTCACTAGCTGCACTAGCATCTTCAAGATCTGAAACTCTTTCTTCACTTTCCCTTAAACGGTTTTGCAAGCTTGTGATTGAGATTTTAATTCCTCTACATTTCTTTGACTCTGCTTCATGCGATCTATTTCTTTCCTGTATTGCTCATTCAAGGAATCTGTCGTTTTTCTAATCTCCTCTATTTAATTTTATCAATGTCTTCTTTAGAAGCAGTTATAAATTCTTTTACTGCAGAGTTTTTTTCAGATTGGGTTTCCTCCCTATGTTTCTGTAGTTGATTGTTTACTTCAGATGCTATGAGTTCTGAGAATTCTTTTTTAATTTCAGAAAAGAATTCCACTCTGAGTTCCTCTATAACTTTCTGCTGTTGCTTATTTACCATCGACGCTATTAATTCATACATTTGAGCTGAGCTAGTAGAAAAGAATTCCGCTCTGAGTTCTTCTATGACTTTCTGCTGTTGCTTATTTACTATTGACGCTATTAATTCATACATTTGAGCTGAGCTAGTGTCCTCTGCACTTGTTCTGGGTGGGCATTGAGTTTCCTCCATATATTTCTGCATCTGATTCTTTACTGCAGATTTTATTAATTCAGGGATTTCTTTTTTCATTTCCAATCTGAGTTCCTCTATAGCTTTCTGCAGCTGTTTCTTTATTTCAGAAGCCGTTGATTCATTGCTTTCAGCTGTGTGATTCCCATTTGTTCTGTGTTAGTGTCCTCTGCACTTGTTATGGGTGGGGTTAGGTTCTGAGATTGCATTTTGCTCCTTCTTGTTGTCATTTTGTGCAGCACTCTCTTCTGACCTTTGTTGTAAATCTTTGTTGCAGTTATGGCCTTAGCACTTACTGAATTTCAGGTGCAGATCAACAAAGTTTAGATTTATCCAGCTGTGCCTGGCTTGGGTCTGGCTGCTGTGCTCAGTTCCTTCCTGCTGCTGCCCTTGGGAGTGAACCTGTTGTTCCCCTCTGGCAAGATGTTCTGCTCCTGGACTAGCTGGGTGGTTCTGTCCCTACACTCTCTGCAGGGATTTCAGCTGCAGGATATCACCCCAGACCTATATGTCAGGCCTGATCTGAGTCTGGAGGGGACAAGGTGGAGTAGGGGGGAGAGGCAGCTCTTCCACACACTCAGGGGGCCTGGAGTAGGACTGAATCCTGGGGTTCCCAGAATGCGACAGAAATTCCCACATGGCGGGTGGGGCGTGGGGTGTACTACAGAGTGATGGGGGGAGTCCCAAGAGGGTGAAAGAGAGTGTCACCCATGCCTGGGCTGGGACTAGTACGTCACACCAGCACAGGGTAGCTGGAAGCTCTCCCACACACTCACCAGGCCTGGGCTAGGACTGGATCTGGGGGTTCCTAGAATGCAACAGTAATTCCTGCTGGGCAGGCAGTGTAGGGGAGGTGTTGCAGAATGTTGGGGGGCATCCCAAGGGGGTATAATAGGGTCTCCCCCATGCTGCGCCTGGGCTGGGACCAGTGGGTCTCACCAGCGCAGGGTAGTTGGAAGCTTTCCCACACACTCACCGGCTCTGGGCTAGGACTCAATAGTATCAATATAAGAACTGTCCAAGAAAATTCCCAGCCCAAGTTAGGCATCCTACTCTGAATTTAGGTAGCTACATGTGGGAATAGGTAAGATTCAAATCCTCAGTTGAAATTCAATAGAGATGTTTTCTTTGCAAGACTTGAGAAAGCAAATTGTTCCTAATTTAGGACTAGGAAACTGTTTTGAGTGCCATGCTGGCCATGCTCCCATGGTGTGCTGAGATGACAATTGAGACTGGGCACAGCATGTCTGTAATCCCAATGCTTGGGAGGTTGAAAACAGGAGAATCATGATGAATCCGATCTGTTTAGTGAGACCCTATAGACCCTGTTGACCCTGTTCTAAATACTTAAATAAGAAGCAGATTTGAGCCTCTGTCTGAGACAAAAACAAAAAGGGAACATTGGAATTGTTCTTTCCTGGAAACTTAAAATTTAAAAATTGATGAACTTTGTGGTAACTATTGATTTTTTTACTTGAGACCATAGGAGCAAAGTTTATGGTTATATAACAGAACCATTCATAAGTTAAGACTTTACATTCAAAGTGTTTTGCCTTGTTAGAGTGAATTTAACCAGGGTTCCTCTGATCAAGCAAATTGCCATGTCTGAGGTACTTACCATACTAGCTGCCTGTCCCACAATGTTGGAGAATTGTGCAGGCACCTGGGTTCCTATGGACTGAGTTTTCTACAATGGTGGAGAGACAAAAGGTGAGGTTTCTCCCCTCCCAAGTGTCTCACTGAGGCTTCTGCTAGACTCCCTTGATGGCAGAGGGGCAATGGACAGGGTTTCTCCTCTCCCACATGGTTTTCTGAGGCTCCAGTGATGGTGGAATGGTGATGGGCAGGGTTTCTCCCATCTTGAACAGTTCACCAAGGTTTCTATGATGGCACAGAGGTGATGGGTGTGGTGTCTCCCATGCTAAGTGACTCCTTGAGCTTCCTGTGAGGCTCCCATAATCAGAAGTATCCAGTTTGGATGCCTAAATTTGGTTTGGTCTTTAAATTTAGAGGTATGATTTTTTTGAGTTCTTTATATATTCAATATACCAGCACAGCTATCATCAACAAATAATAGTAATTTAACTTCTTCCTTTCCTGTATGTATTCCTTTTATTTTTTTTCTTGACTAATTGCTCTGGCTAATATTTCCAGAACTATACTGAATGACAGTGGTGAGAATGGACATCTCTGACTTAATCTTGATTTTAGAATGAAAGCCAGGTGTGGTGGCACACACCTATAATCCCAGTACTCAGGAGGCTGAGGCAGGAGAATCATTGTGAGTTTGAAACCAGCCTGGGCTACAAAATGATCTCAAGCCCAGACTGAACTGTATAGGGAGACACTGACTCAAAAAAAATCAATGGATCACATGGTAAGTGACTACTTGATTTTTAAGAGAATAACTAAACTGCTTGCCAAAGTGAGTGCACTATTTTATATTCCAAGAGCAATGCATAAAAGAGTCAGTCCTGTGTTCTTACCAAAACTTGTTATGTTGAGTCTTTTTAATTTTAGCCAATATAATTGGTCACAATGGTATCTCATTGTGCTTTTAATTTCCATTTATTTTAACATCCAATGATCCTGGACATTTTTAAGTGCATTTTTATTCATTTATGTATATTCTTCATGAGAGATTATGTCAATAATAAATATTGAATTTCTTGAGCTTCCTCCCCCCATCTATTCTGATGATTTTCCTTTCCCCCTCACATCTTTTTTATATCAAAATTTATTTATTTATTTTTCCATAATTTTATTGACAAATAGCAATGAGACAGTTTCAAATCAAATTGGTAGGACAGTTTCAGTAATTAACACGTTGCATACTGTCTTCCTACTGGTTATTTGCTGTACAAGATGTGGACATGATATCCTATTTACAAAAGCTATTATAACAAATACTTCTATTCATTAAGACAATGTAACTCTATATCTATCCTAACCATTTTGAATACATAGATACAAAATGGACATTCATTTATATATCCCCTTTTTTGTTTAGTTCTGTCATTTAAATATTATAGATGTGTGAACTCAGCAAAAATGTTCTAAAAGAGTCCAGTAATCCATAATAATATTGGGTCTTCTGCTTCACTGGCAATGTCAGAAATTATTGACCTACGTCCCCTACAGCTCAACATAACACCATGGCTTTACTTCTTGTACTTCATTTTCATACTTTTCTGCTGGATAGTTAAGACCAAGATAAAGCAAGATAATGCAACAAGAATTGTAGCTTTTGGGTCTGATAAGGTTAGTGAAATCCCCTCAGGATTTATCCTGAGATCCTGTACCTCAGATTGTAGATCCTTTGTCAGTGTCAGCCATGTGGATGAGTCATGGCCATTGCTTGGCCAATGTGCTCTCTGTGAAACCCTGAGAGAATGTTTTCTCTCCATGTGACTCTCCTTAGGCACACTCTACATCATTGATCACTTTTCTCTTTGGCCCCATAATCTCCTTGATCAGAAAATTTGGGACACTACTGAGTTACGTGATGTTACAGTACAAGTTCTCATATGTCCTGAGTCTTAATTGACCTTGAAAGGCTAGGGCCAAAACGTTGGCTTTCCTTGCGGCCCTCCTTTTTCCCCCTCACATCTTTTTGGATGATCTTTCTTTTAGTTTGTTAGTGTACTGACTTATACTACTTGACTTTTGAAAAATAACCAAGTTGAATTCCTCCCATATTTCATCCAAGTACTATCTAAGCCTGACCCTGCTTAGCCTCCAAGATCAGATGTGATCAGGTGCTTTCAATGTGGTACAGCCACAGGTAAGATTCCAACTGAATAGATATCTATTATCTTTTGGATATATTGGATTTAATACATTTTGGATTGGATTTGCTAAATTTTTGTTTAGAAGTTTTGCATTCATGTTCAATGGTGATATGGACCAGTCATTTCCAAAAGAAAACATCATAATGTCTTTGGTTTTAATGTCAATATAATGCTAATTTTATACAATGAATTGGAAATTGTTCCCTATACTTTGTATTTTGAGCCTGACATAGAGAATGTGTTTTGGAAAGTGGAAAAAAAAGAAGCAATATAGGACAAATAAACATGGATCATGTTGAGGAAAATAATGAACAAATATAACAAACAAATCATCAGGATATTCTGTGCCATTGATGGAAACATGATTCATTTTCATTATTGCTTCCTCTTCATAATGACAGCTGAGGAGAGTCACTGCTCTTGACTGACAGGTGGGGAGCCTGATAGATTGTGACTTTTACAAAGTTGCTTAACTTGATACATTTGTCACAGTGAAATCCAACGTGAACTTCTTCCTCCTCCACTTCAGGAATCATAACCGCTGACTCCTGTAGTAATAGGCTACCTCTTCTTATCTGGAAGCCATCACTGCTGGAAGCTACAAGGTTCTGCATCCAGGAAAAGAACTTTGGTAGCTTAAAAGAAAGTATGGGCTGTGATTCTCTCTGGAGAGGAAGGGTATGGTCACCTTCTGGGCAGTCAACTTGATCTAAGGATGGAGGTTGGACCTTTAGGAAAGGATGTTTCTATCATCCCTGAGACAAGGAGGGATGAATAGAGGAGTCAGTTCTTTCTCTTTATAGGTCTGAGGCAGGATGTAGGGTTTCAACAGACCTTCTAATTGATAGCTCATGGTATAAATGAGGGATTGATCATTTACACTGAAGAAAGAAATGGACCTACATTCCCAGTCTAAGAAGATACCCACTCTTGTAGGATGGATTTGGAGAATAATGTTGATTCTACCAGGATCTAATGTATAATACTCATGTTCTTCTTTCCGTCGAAGGACCCAGTACCCCCTTATTGGAGACAACTCCAAGTCCTCCTCCCACCTGTGCACATCATCCCGGCAGACTCCCAAACACCAACTTTCATTGTGTCCTACATCAACTTCCCAGTAATGTTTTCCTGTCTGGAAAACCTGAGAAGCCACCACACACTTTCTCTTAAATCTCTTCTCTGTGTAAGGCACATCCTGTGGAACTTCCTTAAATATTACCGATTTCAGATCAGAAATGTAGAGCTGTGGGTGAGCCGTGTCTGGGTCCAGAGTCACCTCCACTGTGGTATTGCGGGGGGAAAGAACATGAGTTACTGGGGACAGGAAATGGTTACTTCCCCCCAATGCAACTTGTCAGGGTGGGTTTTGGTGAGGTCCCAGAGCAAAAATCCCCACTGAACATCACTCCTCCATCTTTTTCCTCCTCTCTAGGGTGGTCCCCAGGCTTCATCAATGCCTGGAGAGACCCACAGTGAATTGGTGACTCCTGTACATCTTCTGAGTCCTACCACTATTTCTCTACATAGGACCCTGTATTACTGGAGTACTGTGAATGATCTCACTATTCAATTTTCTCCTATGCACCAGTTTCTTCCTAATTTCACTTTCCTCCTGCAGAGCCCAGATGTCAGGCTAGTCATTATTACCCTCAAATCCCTAGGGCTCTGCCTATGCCCTCCACTGTGGCTGACCCATCCTTGCCTTATCCCTTCATAGGCTGCACCCTGAGGGAGATCCAAGGCATAGTATCTGCAGGCTGGTGTAGATCCATATCTATATTACTGGGCATATTCCTTCTTCATCCCTCTCCCTCAGGCATTGATACCTGCATGTTTCCGGGCTTCTCTCCATGCTGAAAAGAAGCAGGCAGAGGGCACATGTTAGTACTCACACAGAGAACAAGAAGCAGAGAGAAGAGAGAAATAAGGGAGGAGCTTTTGTAGGTGTTATCCTCTATCAAAAATCTCATGAAAGCTATCAGGAAATCTTTACAAAATACACCCACACCCTTAACTGTAGAAGATTTCAGGATCACTCTTCCAAATTTATCTCTTCAGGATTCCATGGGCTGCAGATTATAAGATTCCATAAACTACAGGCTTATGAAGAAGAGTTAATGGGGTTAAGGAGAGAGGAATAGCTTCTCTTACCTGCTGTGTCATGCATCCTTCTCCAGTCTGAAACCAAAAAACACACAAGATCTTGACATTGCAGAACAGGGGCCCAGGGGAGAGCAAAGGAATCCTGCACATGTTAACACTATTGCCCAGTTTCTCCTTAAGTTTCCATAATCCAAAAATCAGAATATTCAGTGGCTGACACAGGTCTTGATAAAGGATCTAAACAACTGAGTGGGAGAAAGGATCGGGAAGGATTCTAGGAAATCCCACAGCTTCCTCTCCATTCTGAGTTCTTTTACTCTTAGAAAGCTCTAAGAGTCTGAATTTTCACTCCACAGCAATGTATCAAGAGACAGATTTTTTTTTCCAGAAAAATTTGGAGGTTCCAAGACTCTAAGTTCATCCTAAGCCTCTTATATGTCTTAGGACAATTCATGAATTAGTGGATGAGGAAAGAAAATCAATTTCTGTCCTGGCTTTGTTCATAATGCTTCCTATCCAGCTTGGAGCCAAGAGAACACACAAGTGGCTCAGACTGTAGAACAGGAAAGGAGTCTGAAGAAATAAACAGAAGGCTCAGAGCCTGAGAAAACACTTACTCAGTTCTGCTGAGATTTTCCCTGAAACAAAAGCAGAGTATTTAGTAGTTGACCTAAGCATGTGTAAGATACAGTCACAACCCTGGCTCCTTGCTCATGTGGATGTTCTGTGCACTAAAGGACAGGGGCTCTTCTAGTACTCTCCTCCTGCAGCTCTCCTCCACTCTCCACCCCTGCCCTTCTCTGTCTGGGGTACAACAAGGCAGCTTAGAGAGGGAAGTGGGATTCTGGTATCATCAAGGGACAGTGTCATCTCTAGCAGGAAAAAATATTTCTTGGGATTTAAACTCTTATTATTTTATCTGAAATTAAATATTATTTTATATAATTGTCAGTCTCTTTTCTTCCTGTTTTATGAAGTGTTTTTAACAATTCATAAAGTGTTTTTTTTTTTTTCTGAACCAGGGATTGAACTCAGGCCTTTGTGTTGCCAGGCAAATGCTTATTATACTGAGCCATCTCCCAGGCCCCCGGGTCCCCTTTAACAATATTTAAACTTTTCTTTAAAACTAGGACTTGCTGTTTTTCTTAGAAATTTACATGTGCTCAATATGTACTGAAAATCATTCATTTCTTTATTTTGTGCCCCAAGTAAAGCAGGTAGGGCCTGGCAGTTCCAGAGGCCCAGGTGATGGGTTGCTGATGGATGAGCCTGGACAAACAGACCCAGGACATGCACCAAAACATTCCTGATTTGGAGTCATATTTAGACCCATGCCTTTCTGTCACTTACTTTTAGAGATGTGATACACCATTATCATCCTTGTAAAACAAACACATAGACCAAAGTTGAGTATTCCCAGGAAAATAGCAGGCAGGCGCCAGGATGAGGGCTTGAAGAAAACCTCTGAAAAACAGTTGTACAGGCTTTTTATCAACTTCTTGAGTGAGGACAATTTGAATCTCATTGAGTGAGTCTTCTCATACCTTCAGATTCAAAAGACATTTATTTGTACAATTTCTTCCACAGATTTAAAATTTTGTGTTTCTGTATTAATGCCTTTTCCCTTAACTAGAGAACAACTGTGCCAACAGTGTTCATGACATGGAGTCTCTTTCACACCTTGCCATATGCAATGCTGTCTCTGCCCACATTATCCATTTATGCTATGAGTTCTCTCTAAACTCTTTGATCCCTGCCATTGCCATACTTTTGTATTGCTGCTAGTAATTTTGACTGGGTTAATCATCACAGCTGTGGAATATGTCTTTTTTTATTTTTTTAAGTTGTTCTATTTAAAAAAATAATAGATTGCAAATTGAAAATAAATTATTTACAAACATAAATGAATATAACAATAAAAATTGTCCAAAATAAAAATGAAGAAAGAATTTACAGATCAGTTGTAATAGTTCACTGTGTCAAAACCAAGAAACTTATATTCATATAATTAGAATTCTCAAAGTAGAAAGGAGTAGGCAATAAATATTTAAAGATTTAAAATTTCTGAATTTAGTTCAATTTATAATACTGCATTTCCAAAAAAAATGAACCTTTTGCATATGAAATTTAAATAAAATCATACCAAGATACTAAAAAATGAAATTGTCTAAAACTTATTGTAAAGAAAAAAATCATTAAAGCATATACATAAAAATATTAGCTATGGCATGGAATATGTCTTGATATGCACCAGACTAAGCTTCTTACTTTGATTTTTCTTATTTAGCTGTCTCCGATTCTTGGACATTTCTCTGCCACATAAATTATGGAAATGATTTATCAAGTTTTTTAAAAACTCTACTTGTGATTTTTTGGGGGGAATTATATTAAATCTACAAACCAGTATATCATCTCAGTCTGTTCTAGACTGTATAACATCTGCTGAAAAATCTACTAGCAGCAGTCTGGATATTTCTCTGTATGCACAAATTCTTTTACTAGCTGCTTTCAGCATTGTCTTTCTTACAGTGAAATCCATTCATTTGTACAATTATGTGCATCGATAATAATAAAACAATTATTTTTTTTCTTTAACATTTGAGAATTTGATTATAACATGTGGGTCCTTTTGGTCACTATTTTTGTTATTCTTTGGGCTCCCTGAATCTGTATTATTACTTCTTTCCCCACATTTCAAAAACATTTTCACTGATATTCTTCAAATAAGCCATTGTCTACAAGACCTGTAAGATGCCTTCCCCTTTTGCTTTCTTTTTCATCCTTCTTTTCAGACTGGATGATTTCTAATGACCTGTCTGTGATTTCAGAGCTACATTTTCCACCCATACACCTAGACTATAGCTGATCTATCTACAAATCTGAACTGCTCTACTAAGGTTTTGTGTTCATTTATTGTGTTCAGCTCTATAATTTTTTTTGCCATTCTTAGTATTTTCTAACTATTTTTCAAAATTATGACTTCACTTACTTATTGCTAGGTATCAAAACCATGACCTTGCTCAAGGTAATCAAGCTCTGTACCACAGAGCTACAGCCACAGTGACAGTAAACCTTTCCTTACTATAAGAGGTTAAAAGAATTTTGTGTCTTAACTGTAAAAAATTACTTTAAAAAACCTTGTGTTTTTTGTTATTTACTCTAAGAAATATATTTTTACTCTCAGCTCAAGGCTGTTTATCAATGAATAACTGTTTCTTGTCAAGGCAGCAAGGTAGAACAAACTCCCTTCCTAACCATCTCTTATAACGTGGTCAGCTTAAGATGTATCTTATAAAAATATACACTTATCATAAAACTGTAAAAGAAACTTTAGTTACAAATAGTTTACAGCTGTGTCAAATAAATGTAGTTTTCTGTTGCTCTGTGCTAGATAACAAATTCGCTTACCAAACTGGATGAGATTTCTGTTATAAATACCCACTTGCTACCTATGTTCAATTGCTGGTCTTCTACATGAGAAATGGTCGATGGAACTGAGCTAAGTAAATAAAAGGCTCTATTCAAATTTCTATCTGGCTGATCTGGTTCCTATGCTGAATGACTCATAACAGCTACATTTTTTACCATAATTTTTTATTTATATGTTAATGATACATTTAAAGGTACATGCATATGTCTAAAGTTTTTATTTTTTTATGTATTAAGTACAGGCTCTACAGGGTCTCACTATGTAGATCAGATTTGTAGTGATCTTCCTGCTTTCAGCCTCCCAAGTGCTGGAATTACAGGTGTGTACCAACATGCCCAGTCTTGTCTCAGCATGCCCCAGGTGGCACAGAATGCCAGGGATCAAACCCTGGTCCCTGCATCTGCCTAAACAGGTACTTTAATCCACTGAGCTATCTGGATGGCTCTAAATTTCTATATTTTCTTGGTGAATGAACTTTGAATGTCTATGAAGTTAACTTTACTGCTAATTTTAATTTTATTTTTAAAATCAAGAACCTCTTTTCTTTTGTTATAGTACTGGAAGTTGAAACCAGGACTTTTACACTAAGCTATACTTCTGGTCCTTTTTCCTGTTTTCTTTTTTGAGTCAGATTCTCAAGTTTGTTAAGTTCCCCAGGCTAGGCTCAAACTTGACAATCCTCTTGCTGCAATCCCCTATAGTTCTGGGTTTACAAACATGGACCACCACTCCCAGCAAAA